GAGCCAAGTTTTGAGTTGCCCTCCTCTTTGACGCCCCAAGGTGGGCTGCGGCGGCGGGTCGAGGGCAGTATAGCGAAGCTCATGAGGCGGACGATGGCGAACGTGCCCAAACCACCTCAGTTGCCTCTCTTGTATAGCCTGATATATCCTCGCGCTACTTTCGCAGCGAGTGCAGCCTGTCTCATTTGAGATGATCTCGGTGTACTTCACTCGAAGGATGGTTCTCAGACAGCGGTGGTAGAATACTTCCAGCCTTCGTTCATCTTCGGCGTGCAAAGTCCAGCATTCACATCCATAGGGAAGGACTGACCGAAGGGATGCACGGTAGACACGGATCTTTTTGGCGATGAGGATGTCTCGTCGGATCTAATAGGCGCTTTCGGAAGATTGAGAAAACCCGACGAGCAGCATCGATTCGGAAGACAATGTCGTCTTTACTTTGTCCATTCGGCAGCAGCCTCACCCCGAGGTTTTTTTAAGTTGTCCACTTCTTCAAGTTGATGATCATTAATCTCCAGAGCTGCCTCCTTTTGGTCAGAGGGGCAGTTCGAGAATAATTTAGTCTGCTCCTTGATTATGGACAAGCCAGCTGACATAGCGATCTCCCAATTGCACCCGAGTCGTTGTCGTTGTCCCCTGCCGCATCTGCGAAACCTTTTGGTAATGTGTGACACAACGAAGCGAGATATGTCGTGAGGGTTATTTGTCTAAGTGACTGCTTAAACAAACGCTTGCCACTTCCTTGCAATCGCTACTCCTACACAGTGTATCCGGAGCGTTTCTTCTTCGAGACCGATACGCATTTTTGCATTTGTTCTTGAGATTCCGGTATGCCTGAAGTTCCCTATCAAATATACTTTCGGCCGGACGCCTGTTTAGTTCCATTGATAGCTTGAATCCGGACTAAGCCAGTCTCGGTATAAAATGCTACCCTCGAAAATCGCGGGTCTAGATTTTTTTCAAAATCTAAACTTTCTGTCGCCTCTACATCACACAGGTCGACCTCAGTGCTGGTCCACCAAAGGACCTTCTCTTCACCCAATTCCAGGCCAAGGTGGAGGGTGAGATCTTCTGTGCGGTGAATTGCCCCGTTGCAGCTGATCAACGTCTTGCTGTCAAACTCGT